AAATGACATTGATGCTCATGCAGAACACCCAAACAAATCAGGATCAGCACAAAGCGGCATTGACGTCACTTCAGAAACACGTTTGAGGTTGCACTGGAGAGGCAAACACCGACCCTATTTTTAACTGCAGTGCTGTATTGATGATTTTGCAGGGCTGTGTGTAATGCCCGCTTTTTAATTGCATATTTGAGGCGTCGGGGAATAAATGCAATTAACTCAATGTGGGTGGACTTCAATCACAAAGATGCACTGTAGTGAGAAAAAGGTTGTTAGAAGGTAATTATGACTATGTGATTATTCATTATACCGCTGTGTGTGTGTGTGTGTGTGTGTGTTGGCTTTACACTCGTACAGTAAGCAGTATTTATTATTTAATAAATTGAAGAATTTTGCTGAAAGAGGTATATTTTTCTGTCAACTTGGTTATTTAGTGGTTTGTAATTGTTTTTGTCATCAATGCTGAACAATCAGCAACTGAAATAGCATTTTGACCATTCAATAAAAAGTACATTTTCCATGTATCGTCTGTCCTAACGAGACTTTCCTCGCTTTATGAATGAAGAAAATGTGAATTTATCTGATATGAATACTGCTTTTAATGTAAAATCAATTACTCACAATGTTCCGGATAGATAAACATCTCAGCGCAGAGGCTAATACATATGAAATCTTTAACGGTACTTTAGCGTGTAGCATAACTCTCAATGACGCATCCAAAACTGCGCCCCAAATGCTTATTATCCCCCTCCTCCTCCAACCGAGGGAGGCCCGTATGCAGCCCCGGGGCCCAAGTGGATCCATCACCCTCTCTATGTCCCTATGTGGGATGAGGAATGAGCCGCGGTGCATCCCCCCCACCTCCCCCCATCCTAATGGTCTCAGGTGTCAAGTTTGGAATGAGCTGCCCCCCCCACCCAACCCAGCACTCACTGCACCCCCACCGCCGCCACGACTAAGTGCTCCGTGAGGTGATGGAAGAGCGTTTTTTTGCAGATGCATGCGGCGGTTAATGCCCCGCACCGCGTCAGAGAGCGGCCATCGGTCTCCGCCTCAGTGACAGACAGGCGGAGATGGTGAATAGTTGTCTTTTCAAATCTGAGGCGATTACGCCTCACCGAGATCGCAATATCAAGCACTTTTTTTTTTTTTTTTCCCTGAGGGCGTCAGCTGGATAAAAGGCAGGAAATGGTCCTGGTTCTACTCGGACCTGAAGGCTTATCTTAGGGCTGCATTGAAGTTGAAGTAGAAGTACTGGACAAGAGGAGGGAGAAGCAGTCATGTGACTCGTTTGTCATCGCCCGTGTATGCGAGTCCTTACTCACTTGGTGGTGATGGGAGCCGTTGGCGAGTCAAGTTGATGTCAACCAAGCTTTTGAAAGAGTTTTTCATTTTACAGGTCATTTAAATGTTTCTTTTGATCTACTAATTCATAAATTAAGCTTAAAGTCTGCCTTTAATTTACAAATGTATGACAATTTAATGAAATAATGTGTCTCCAACAGGGACTGAAAATGTACTCTCGAAGTTCAGACTTTGAGCAGACTGTGAAAACAGCCATTTAGTGTCAAACACCGTGAAGGTCGAACATCCGGGACGGCAAATTATTTCAGCGGAGGGCAACTTTCCTCTATATATGCACATGGAAGTAGCTGCGTGAGGAGTCCACATGGAAGTGAAACCCAAACCTTGCCAAATCCACGACGTGCATGATATAAGAACCATGTTTGCACAATGTAAAGCTCGTAGCTAAAGCCTAGTTTCACCACTCAAAAGTGGGAGAGGGTTTTTAACACGCAGGTTGTTTTTGAGACTGCGTCTCAGTTCTGGGAACAAAACCATATTCTCTTTAAATTCAAAACATAAAGTTATTTTTTTTTTCATCATCGGCGCTGTCGCGCTATGAATTCAGACACAGTCCCTGTCATATATTTCTTTATTAAATTGCTCTGCCTGTTTTCGCAGCTGGATATGATTTTCTCTCCGCAGATGAGCATGAATAGCAATCAGATACTATGTATTTAGAGGGGATTCGGAGCTTATTCAGTGCTGCACACTGTGTTGTCATTACCCGTGACACGCTGAGCTCATAAAGCTTTGTGTCCACTCAATGTGACACTGGCCTTTTAAACGCGGCCTGTTGCGTGGCCGCCTCGAAGCCCCCCCGAGTATATTTAACAGGCAGATGTGGCGGACACCCCATGGGGAGCTCTGCGGGGTCCTTCGCGGTTATGTAATAGCGGCAGGCTTCAACATGACACACGTCAAAGTGGTGGAAAATGAAGATCTGGTTCACTCAGCCTCTCTGGTACCCCCTCCCTCCCTCTTCCACCTTTTCCTCCCTCCATCCCTCCTTCTATCCATCTCTTACCCAATCCTTCCACCACGGTGCAGTGGGGCAGTCCGCCGCACAGACGAGAGAGCGATGGATCCGGAGACAAGGCAGCAATTTGACGACGTAATTCTGATTCCGCCAAATTGAAAGATGACTCGCCAGAGCGGACGAGGGAGCGCGCTGCCCTGTCAAAGTGTCAAGCACACTAATTTAATTTCAGCCCAAATGACAGCTTTTTTTTTTTTTTTTTTCACATGAGTAGGTGGAGGCCATTAAGGAACTCCTGTGGTACTCATCTTACTCGCACATTATGCCAATAACACGGCCGCATTACACCCGTCAGGATGAAAAATGGCCCCTATTTGGTGTAGACAAATAGCAAACCTCAAAGCTTTAGTCTTTTCATTGCTGCTCTAAAATGCTACTCAATAAGAGGAGCTGGGGAAATGTTTCTCATTTTAGGGAAATAAACATTCCTCATGCTGGCTTATGCTTAAGTTTCAATGGAGGCTGTTGTTTGTTAATTACATCGTCGAGCGCCGCTCCAACCCGACGCCAGAGCAAGATTGTTATTAGAAGCTGTGAATGAGTTTCTCCACGGCAAGTAAAACTCTTTCAATATGCAAAATGTAACGCAATCCGGATTTTCTGAGCTCTTTTCCTTTTACTAAGCTTTGTAATGGAGGGTATTTCGTCCATGCAATGTTCAAAAAATGCTCAATAGTTGTAGAACACAATGCTAGTGGCTAGGCCTAGTGATGCTTTACAATAATACCAGTAAAAGGTTTTCTATGTTAGGATTTGCTGATACATATTAGGTGCACCTAAAGACAAGACAAAGAACATGTCAGCTATCCCACGAGTAGCTAAGGTACATAATCTACAAACCGCACACAGAAACACAACACAAACGGCTGACCTAACAGAATCACAGGAATTCCTTGGTTTATTTCTGGAAAAAAATGGTGGACCAATAACCGTAATTGGTTTGTTTTTTTGCCTGACTGATACACTGGCTGCTTTATGGGGTGAATATCAAAGCTAGAGCCGATTTATTGATTTAATAAAGTAGCTCGGGCACGAAGTAATTCCAGTCACAGAAAAACATCTTTCCAGGTGAAGAACACAGAACGGAAGATCCTGCAATGTTCTCCCATGGTCTCACCCTTGTCCTCTGACAAAAGCATGTCTGCCGTAGAGCCGGCGGCCCACCGGCTCTGACGTCGTCGAGGGAAATTAAAAGCCCGCCGAACGGATAACGTGTCACCGCGCCGAAAAACGCAATTTTTCATCCTAACCCACCACTGATCTCGCGGGGGCGAAAACAGAGACGCTTAAAGACGGGATAATACACGAGAACAAGTGTGAGGAGTGGGAGAGCGGAGGTGGGAATGTGTGTCAGCGGAGCATTAGGTGGGTGGGGGGGGGGGCGTGAAACAAACACTACACTTGTTTGAATCGCCCGTCATTGTTGCTGTCTTAGGGGACAGCGGAGAGCTGGAAGCTTACAGCCCGAATGTGGCACACAGGACACGTTGTGTGGGAGGTGAGGTTTATCTGCTCGGGGGCGTTAATGCTGGCTGACCAGCCGGATCTTAAGGCGGAGGAAATATTGCTCACCACGTCCCGTCCCCCCCGCCCCCCCTAAAGAGACGGGCTCACATTGATTTCTCCTGTTTTATATACGGCGCCCTAATAGAGGGGCTCCCTGAGGCTCTTATACCGGAGCACTGTGGCATGTAAACAAAATCAGATAAGCAAGGACATGAAATACATTGAATAGGAGGGGGGGGGTTGCACCACGCCAGCAGGGACGACATGTTTGGGATTTTTTTTTCTTCTAAGCACGTGTGCGTCGAGCCAGCGTTTATGTCTCGCGTGACGTCTTACGGCATTGACGCGTTGGGTTGGAAAGCGCGATGAAGGAGTTTAACCTTTCGTTCCACCCTGTCCCGATGTCCCGATGTCCCGCCACGTCTCGGGAGGAATTCGTGGCCACCAAAAGGCTTGACTCCATTTGTGTATCCCGCCAGTTAATCATCTGCAAGCGCAATGAGGGGAGGGGGCGCCCCGAAAACAAGTGCAACACCTGTTCTGGACACGGAACAAAATCATCCGGATCACATTTATTTATTTATTTATTTGTGAACTCCTTCGTTGCTGCGGCCATTGAAGCGCCGGCCAGCGAGCGCATTAATCAGCTCCAGAGACTCCATCCATCTGTCGCACGGGCACAGCTCGGTACACGCAGGACCCGCGAGCTGTTGGCACGGCCTCCGCCTGTGTTGTCTCCCATTACTTCTGCCCATTTTGACTGTGTTACCTATCAGGCATGCTGTGTGGAGGGGGGGCAGGGTGGGGGGATTGGATGGATGTTAAGTTTTTTGTCGGGTGAGAGGCTTGTTTAGCTTTGGGGCTGGTTTGTGTGATAGACTCACGTTGTCGCGAATGATTGTATTTGTGCTTACAGACACAACGACACCGAGCACACAAACGCAGAGGAGGCAAATACTTCATGTTAACACAACGCGCAAAACACAGGAACCGCGTCTCCAGCCTGCTTTCCACATGAAGTAGCACAAACGTGATGATATCTTTTTAAATGCAAAATTATTCATGATGTTTTTTGAAAAAAAAAAAAAAAGTAATGAGAAACATTTCCCCACAGTCATTGCAGCTACAGATTCGACGGGCACAACTTGAGAGCAACTGGTCTCAGAGCTTCTGAATACATAAATATGGACTCCGCCCAAGTCTGAAATGTAAGTGTGAAGTGTTCCAAAGCCTGTGAAATTGATGCGTGCAAACCTCTGCAGCATTTGACTATACCTCCGCCTCGGCCCGTCACCGCCGGATGAATGTTCCTCCCGGGGACTTTCTGGTTGGGACTGAGCTATGTGTAGAGCTTGAGCATTGCTCGTATGTGTCTGCTTGTCATAATAATGTAAGATACGGTAACGCAATAACAGGGAAAATATGACAGCGGCCTAGTGAAGATTGAAAGGTCACAGGACAAATGAGCTTCTTCTCAGCATAGGGGTGTGTGGGTGTGTTTTTATGATTATATATACAGTACCTTGAGTACACAATTTAGCCTAGGGCAGACATCGCTCACAATGAGGAATACAGCATTCAAATAGCATGGTGCTTCATCATCTTTATTAAAAATGTAAAACAGTGGAGAAAGCCGCAGCAGTTAATTAAGTTAAGGAACAAACTGCTCTAAAATATGAAATTTCAATAGCCGTACTATTCCCACTGTTCAGGTACGTTTCCTCAGGCTCTCAGCCTTGTATGTTCCAGTGCAACGATACAGCTCAACTGAAAAAGTAATAAGTTTGAGGAATCAAAATAATTTTCATCACATGGTTCCATTTGGCATTTTTCAGGCTAAGGAGCAACCGTAGTTCTTCACTACTCATCTCATGTGCTGACCACCGGCCTTCTAAAGCCAGGTCTTTGTTCTTTTTTTTCGAATTATCCGCTCCAAGCGTGACATTTCTCTCCTTTCTCATGTGTCATGAGTCAGGATCTGAATGGCGTAAACGGCTAACATGTCTGACGATGTGATTCACAGGTACAGCCAACACACATAGCAATATGTGTAACAGTCTGCATGGTAGATGTGGGAGAAGATTAGCATAAACCCACTCGTTTCTCATAAAGTGCACGCTGTGAGTGAGGCTGCTAGTGCGCCTGAGAAGAGAGGGTCCACGGGGTCTTGGGGTGTGTTCTTTAGTTGTTTGAAGCTAAAGAGAAATGTTCCTTTTCCTCACTGCTAGCGAGAGTTGACATCCTTTCACTCTGAGCGGCGCAAGCTTGTTAGCTGGCTAACGTTAGCGCCCGGACCAACTAGACGATACCATGTTCGTTCAACCGGACATCATTGCATTTGCTTACAGGTTAACACGCTGATCCGTCCGCATCCACTGTTTTCAACGTGAGCAAGATGGCCGCTGCTGGGAGAAGGCCCTCGCGGTCGGCGCGCCATGTGACCACGGCAACCACAGAAAACCTCAGCAAAGGAACCGATACAGGAGCCGGATATCACAATGACTTGGCCTCGGATTCCCTGTGCGGTTGCAAATTCCCAACGAGGACACTGAAGTCAATGCCCATCCAATTACTTCGTTCTAAAGTATGTAAAATCATGCAACGGTGAGGAAAGGAAGGATTAGGCTACGGCTCGACTATAGCATGAGGTTCTCTTTCCTTCCAAAGACTCTGAATGTCAAATCTTTTTTTTTCTTTTGTGTGTGTGTGTGTGTTGTTTAATTAGAGAATGCTTATCATAGACGCATGGCGCGCTACTGAGAGGTGACAGCACCCCAGTGTTGTAAAATTAATTATATCACTAATGTGGACCCTGTGCATGTGAAATAGCTGAACTCTCCCCAAATAGCTCATTAATCTTCAGACAGCCACTCCTGGACTAGGTGAAGTGGTCTTGAATTTCAATACCCATCCTTGCTGGTTGTAACCTTTCCCTCCTCTCGCTCGAGCAGCCGATGGGGGAACAGGAGCATTGGAGAGAGAATAATATTGTCTGCAGCGGTATCTCTAGCACTTCTCTCTGTGAGTCATATAATTACACACACCTACGCAGTTTTCCTAAACACACACACACTCTCTCTCACACACACACACTTGCGCAAAACCAGGCTTAGAGTTTAAAGTGGAGTACGCCCGAGAAGTGCTGATGTATCCTATGATTATTAAAAAAAGAAAAAATACTGCCCGCCGCACTAGCATAAACAAATCACTTGAAATGAAATTTTTCAGGTAATAAAAGTGCGTTCTTGAAAAAGACCAAACTGGACCCCACTGGTTCTTATCCGTTTTTAGCCGTCGCAGCAAAAGTATGCAGGAAATTAAAGTTCTCGATTTAAAGATTTGTTTGATACACTGCAAACCTTTCCACTTGTTATTAAAGCCCTCCAGAGATTTTTATCGTATCACATGATCATTAGTGGATGGAATGGAGTTTTTATCTGGAACCTTTTTCTTACTCCTGCATTAGAGCATCGCAAGCAGGAATAGCAAGAGAGAGCAATAAGAGGACTGTGAAGATTAAAGCGTCAGCGAAATTTTGGTTGCCAGGTGAAACTAAAGAATGATAGATCCTAAATTTCCCACAGTGCAACGTTTACAGTGTTTTTTATCACTTTCCACGCTTGGTTAATACCAACATCCATCAGTTCCCAAAACATCAGCAGTTCCGGATGATGTAAAGAAAAACAAATTATGTCAGTCAGTTCGACCTTAAACAACCGCTTTATTACTGGATGAACTTTGTGTGTAAAATCAATGCGGTGCTGTTTTATCAAATGGCTATTTTTTACCTCCCAAACAGCCGTTTATTAAACAATTTTGCATCAGTTATAATGTCTTTATGCTATTTTTTTTTCCAAATGAATTAAGATTTTAAAAAAGTAAAATATTTACTGTAGGTGTCCATCAGGGTGCTCTCCGTGGTGCTGATCTAAAGAGAAAACCAAGTGTATCCTCTGTTTGTTTGGCATCGGCTGCAGAGTGGTTTTGCAAACCCTCTTTAGGGCAGTATGGTTTCTGTAATCCGCCCCACTGTTTGTGTGACTCTCCCCACTGTTCGTCTGCCCCGTTGGCAGCAGTGTCTATTATTCCGCTTCTCTCCTGCTGTTGTGGTTATTCGAACACTTGGAGCCGTCCTCATGAACCCTGTTTCTTTATACTTACTGAGCCGTTGTTGCACCGAAAGAAAGTGCATACATATATTTATGAATTGAGACAACATCTGCACAGGCTACAGGAAATGCGCCCTTCATCGTCGGGCATTATGAGCAGCAGAGCCTGTTTAAGACAATATCAAAATCTGTCGAGTGCAGCGGCGCCTCCTCTTGAAACCAGAGGTGGGCTGGAAAAATGCCTCGAACAAATGGGTTTGAACCACTCAACCACTTTATAGACTTGGCTCTTACGTGGCCGAAATAGGTACAAAGGTGCTCGCCAACGAAATGGAACAATGACGAACAGATAAAAGCAAGAACCAAAACATCATCAGATTACTTCCCATGCAAATAGGATTTTGTGAGAATGTAGTACATGATTGGTGTTTTTTTTTTTTTTTTTTGGGAGTAGTCTTTCAGATTTCGTTTTAAACTGCTCATCTGGCCTTGCTCCACAATAACCTCATGTGCAGTGAACTCCTTATCAGCTGTAAGAAACATCTCAAACTGTGGAAATTCTGTTTCCTTCCTTACTACCACTCATTAGTGTGGCGCCATTTCGAGCCAAATTGTACCGGAGTGATCTGCGGAATGTTCGGAGTGAAAGGTTCTGTAATTGGCTCTAAGGGTCTGCACGGTGGGCCCGGTGGTTTCCTCGATGTAAGGAAATCACAGATGATGAATCACTGACTAGCTTTTGAAGGGTTAATTATTACATCATTTAAATATGACATCATCCAAAAGTCTTGCCTAACGGGTCATTTATGGTTTCACACCCGTGTGCAGCTTGTGGCGACCAATTCCCATGCCATTCTTGGACAAGTATCCTTGAATCTCATTACTGACCGACGGCAGTGAACTCTCTTCACCTCGTCTTCATAAAACACATGTGCCAAAAGTGAAAAGCTGGTCATGTTAACTATGCTCCCCATCTTAGTTCAGCATGTGAGCATGTTAATATTTACCAATGGGGATCCTTCTTGGCCATGCATACAGATAAAAATAATTTGGATTCATCATCACATTTAAATAATGTATGAAATAAATATTCACTGAAGCCGTGAGTAATTAAATCCATTTATTGGTTCATTTTAGTCTGGTACACAGCAGGATCCTTTTTTGTGTTTATTAAGAATATAACAAAGGGAGATTTCCTCAGAATCTTTATGTTGCACGCTTGTTTGTTAATACACACACACACACTATTATATCACATGCTGATAGTCATTCACGGTGTAATAATATATATGATACATAGAATCCACCTGCTGGCTCGTATACTGTCGCAGTCAGTCACTTGCTATGAAAAAATATCACCACAGCGCGCTGCATGATTAAGTCACCAAAAGGGGGTCCGTTGCTTCACCACAGCCATCCTTCTATTTCCTTTTTTTTTTCCTTTTTTCTTTTTGCCATCACAGGTTTTCATATCCCCGGGCCTCGGGAGAACTCGACACGGAGCTACATGACAAATGCAGTGCACAGAGAGCCTGCTAGGCCAAATCTATCTGCTTTATTGGTATTCACCGTTTCCTCCCTCCATCGGCTCAGCCCATAACAATCTGACGTGTTCTACCTCGGCCGCCACTATTTTGACCTGCCTCCTAGAGCCTGTCTCCCGGCGCGTGACGTCAAGCGGGGGGGGGGGGGGGTGGGAGGAGGAACAGCCAGAGACGCAGAGAGCGGTGATGGTTGATCTACAGAGAGGTGCTGGTGAGCAGCGCCACTTGCAAATGAAGGGTACTGTTGGCCCTGTGCTGCAGGCTCGGCGTGCTCCTCTGTATTGGGAGTCGCTAAACTACAGCGTGGAACCGCTGAATGCAAAAGCATTCAATTGAACACGTCAACCCGTCAATCAATGTGGCTGCAGGATGAGCTCATGTGCTCTTTGTGGGTATTTAAATAACACACCGAAGATGCCGGCATCCTCGCTTTGTTGCAAGCTTTCAAAGTGTGCGTTGAAATAAATATGTAGTGCGCGGCCTGAACATGTAACATTGTGATTGATTAATTACCAATTACCCCGTCGTGTACACGGCCAACGTGCATAACCATGTGAACATAAGCGAGAGTGTTGTCTTGGATGCACGCCCACACCCCCCCGCCCACCCCCCCGTCTGTAAACCACACGGGTGTGAAACCGCCTTTGTCTCTGTGCATGTGTTTGTGTGTGTGTGCGCGCGCGCTCCCCCGCCTGTTCACGGCATTAACGCTCAACCTTGTCCAAGGTTAATCTGTCACTCTCGCTGTATATTTGCATTCATTCTTATCTGCACCTAGCCACTCAACTGACTGTGTATCTGCCCCAGCCGCTGCTCAAACTTAATCGTCTTTGTACATTATAGATGAGCCTCCACCAAAGTAGACACACACACACACACACACACACACACACACACACACACACACACGCATCTCCCTTCCCATGCTGAAACTCCTCTTTCCTTGAGCAACCACACACACATGCAACATAGAGTCCAGGACTGCTTCATATGTAACGTGTCGGCGAGCCATTAAGCTGGCTGCTGCTCACAGGTAATATATTTATCCCGGTATGGGGGCCAGTGTTGGATCTAAGTGTTTCACTCTGCAGGCACCACTAACTTTGTGCAGCTAAGTAACAGAAGAACTCTGGCTCTTTCACGTTTACCTGAGAGAACAAACGGTCGGCTCTTAATCAGGAGCCCGGCGTTGTTTCTTCATTTGGAACAACGCAAGAGGCAAAAGTTGAATAGTTTCAACTTAACGGAGCTTGGCTTGCTTATTACCTTAAAAGAAAGAAAAATCAAATAAACTGACTAAAGGCCGCCGTAAAATATCAAACCGGTGTCATTATGTAATCTTCTCTTTTTCCGTTGAATGAATAGATGAACACAGTAAGCTCACACGAACAAAGGAACATGCAGCACAGCCACTAATGATATGAATGTCGAGTGAGAGCCAGGTTAGCATTTGCCTCAAAGACAACCCAGTTCTCTTCTTTTCTCCATCACAGAGAAAGGGAAAATTTTTTTAGAATCCTACACTTGCTTCCTTTTTCTTTTTTTATTGTTCCAATGTATAAGCAGCACTGAGCCGTGACCATTGAAGGCGGGAGGCTGATCCTTGTGTGCTTTCAAAATACAACACAGTTGAGGGACAGATTTGGGGTGAGCACTTTCTCCACGCAATCGTGGACACCCCACTGTGACTGAATGAATATCAGACAAAACACTTAGAAATGAAGCCAGTTGCGCAGGAAACAAGTTGTTTTCCTGGTTCCCGTTGATCTAAAGTAACGGTGGCATCTCTGAGGAATACGGGCCCTGACTATTCCTCGGAGAAAACGTTTGTGTTGTGTAAACGCGCCGCGTGCGTTCGGTTCAACTTCCAGCCTACAAGCAATGTTGTAATTTAGCATCTTACCTTTTCGGCGTGTTTACCTACGGAAGCTACGCGGGAGCTTATTCCGCCGCATCACGGCAGCTGTCTCGGGAATCGGCTACGACAACAACGGGAAAACCGCCCTGCAAACATCAACAGCGTCAAACGGCAAACAGGCACGTTTCCTTTGAAAAGGCAGAGTGCGTATACGAAATGGAAGCATTAGTCGATGAGGTCATGAGCGCGGGCCTGTGCTGTGTGAGGGTGAAGTAGGGCGCAGCTGTGCAACTCGGGGAGCTCTGTTGTGTCTTGGGTATATAAAGTTGCGTGTGTTTGTCTGCAGGTGTGTCCAAACCTTATCGCTCCCTTCGACGTGCAGAGAACTTTTTCGTGCAAACAGGACACAGTGAAGCATTTAGCTGCTTAAGAGACTTTAGCTGTATTAAGAGATATTAGTGATGTTGAAATGGTTCACTGAGGGGCGTTCACACGCAATCTGAATCCTGAGAACATTCCATCCATGAAAGCCAACATGACAACCTCATTATACTACTAATATTTTTTTTCTTTTACCTCCTCAGCAAACATTTTGGCTGGAAGTCTGCTTGTAATTAGCTAATTTTAGATATTAATTATTATCATTAATAAAAGAAGTGGAAAGAGACATGCAAACGAATAGTTATTGCATTTAATATATTCAATTTTGATGGAGGTTGCGTTGAATATATTTTAGGTCTTGAAGCATATGCAGGATATGAACGATCTTCCCCTAACTTTTTTTTTTTTTTGGCTGTTCAATGTCATCATGCAATTTACTATCATCAGATGTTGAACATTTTATCCAATACCAACAGACCGTCAGAAGACACATCTGTTTAATTAAGACTCTACTTGTACGTGTCTCTATGGTGTCTGGTACCTCTCAGGCACCTAATACTAAAACGGACCCATTACCGGACCCCCTGCTGATGACGCGCTGAGCACCACTCAAAGTGTCCGGGGTACGTTGCTAATGACGATGTGGTAATATGATTGAAAGCTCCACAGCGGTAAACGGCGATCCTTCTTTCAACCGCACACCTTGTCATTCGCACAGTGCGTGACCGAGCAATTTGTCGGTTTTTTTTTACACGTAGGTTTGAACGACGCGCTGAGGCCTCCACCTCCTTAATGCAACGTTGGACAGAGGACGCCCCTGACTGTTGTCTTTATTGATTCTTCCCGGGTGCCTGGATGTGATTAAGGGGGAATTAAACTCAAGCCTGCTGACTCAAATCGCGGC